CGACACTGCACTACTTCAGAATGGAAGCGTGCTGCAAGAGGGCTATGTATGGGCATGGCACGATAGACGCGCATGACAATGGCCAAGGGCTAAAGGTTGCCTTACTTAGGCGAGGCACGAGCGAGTCGCGGATGCACTAGGCGAGTGTCGAGCTTGAGGATTGGGCTGTGCACGCGGGAGCGATGCTCAGTCTTGGGCTAAGGACAAGGCATGTCCTAAGCCAATCCCCCCAGGGCGCGCATGGATAGTGATCCTAAGATGAAGCGCCACGACATGTCTAGGGCCAAGGGCCTAGGCATCTTACGGGCGGCACAAGTTGGGGCGAGCCTACAGGCGAGTCCCACCAACAGGCACAGGATCGTGCTTGGGAATCCTGGGAAAGGAGACAGGCTGGCCCGCAGCGAGGGGAGCTGCGGACGCCGCACGGGCGAGCAGGTGCCGCTACCCAATGTAAGGATTTCGGCCCGTGACATAGTGCTTATATTGTTTCGACGTTGATTTCCTATGCTGTATAAGTATAAAATAAAGGGTTAGACAAGAAAGCTTAATCATTTATCTGAGCAGAGAGACTAAAATTTGAGAGAGAACACGTGAAGTAGTTGGCAAGCAAAAGATAGATTCCAAAAGCAACCAATGTTTTCTTCTTTTTGCTTAGTTTCCTGACATCCCAAGAAAACATATATTCTGGCTTGAAAAGCAAAATATAGTTAAAGAGAAGAACAAACAGAAGAAAGTCCTCATTTTTATGAGTTTGCTACGCTAGTTAAGTAACAGCTCAGCTTCTTTCTGGAATCAGAAGTTTACTGTTTTATGACTTTTACCTGTTGCTCTCACTTTAGGGACCCCACTTCCCCTCTTTTTATTCTCAAGTCTGAATGCTAGCAGCACTCTGTATTTTCCTGACAAATCAAGGAGCTAGACTTAGCAGCAGCGAGAGCATATTCATTATTCAACATGGCCATGGATTCAAGTAGTAGTACTATGAAATATTACATTCTTGCCTTACACACATTTCAATTGCTAGCCTCAAGCCCCTTTGGTCTATGTGGTAAGTGTGCATATAATTTGAAGTCCACTGCACCACCCTTTCAATATATCATTGTTGTTATATTCACAAAATCTAGACGTTGTTAGTTCTGAGTTTAATTCCATCTGCATTTCTTTTTCGCACGCATACACATACAAGGTCCGAGTTCTGCTAAACTTGTGATAAACCATAGTTGAATCCGTCACTGATACTCATACGCCTTTGTTTTTGCCAAAAAATGCAGATAGAGCCGGGATAAATCCTGGCCTTGGACTGCACAGGAAATTAAGACAGCTGCAAGTTGAATCAACCAGTCCAGAGAATGGAATATACACTTCCCCTCCTCTGCTTTCAGGAGCTGTACCACCACCAAGTCCACAAATTAACTCTCCTCCTTCAAAAACCGCACCACCAACTCCAGGGAACTCTCCTAATCCATATGGGATATTCACTCCTTCTCCTCCTACTCCTTCAGGAACTATGCCACCACCTTTACTTTCCACTTCTCCGCCACCACCATCTCCTACTCCTTCAGGGGCAATGCCACCGCCATTACTTTCCACTTCTCCACAGCCACCATCTCCTCCTACTCCTTCAGGGGCTATGCCACCACCTTTACTTTCCATTTCCCCGCCACCACCATATCCAAATGCACAAAGTCCACAGCATAATGCACCTAAGCAGCCACCACCGAATAGTCACTCATCGCCAACGCCACCACCACCAGCTCCTAATAAGAAACCTGAGAATGCAGTTTGGTGCGTGGCTAAGCCGACAGTACCAGCAGACTTGATTCAGCAGGCACTGGACTATGCTTGTGGTTCTGGGGCTGGTTGTGATGCCATACAGCCCAATGGGGCGTGCTACCAGCCGGCTACGTTGCTTTCTCATGCTTCTTACGCTTTCAACAGCTACTGGCAGAAGAAAAAACAGGGCGGAGGGACTTGTGACTTTGGAGGAACTGCTATGCTTGTCACTGCTGATCCAAGTAAGACTCTCAACTACCTTAAAAGCTCTACTCTATGAGAATACATTACAAATAACAGTTACCTCAACGATTATAGTTTCGCATTAATAGGCAAGAAGGGTTGGAAGTGCCTCCATTGACAGCGTGGCCTTGGCATGATCTAACTTATATACACTGGCAGTGTACCTTTAGTCCTGTGACATATCGTTGACTTTATCTGAACATTTTGACAGGTTATGATCAGTGCCGTTTCACCTGCAACTGATTGTGGAAGACAACATTTGAGATTGAGAGGACTCCAAGACTGGATAGGCAGATATTTGCATATGTTATTTTACTACGAAGGACTGGTGTGACCTCATAGGATTCTTGTCTGTTTTTTCTTTTTTGCTTCTTCATTTAAAAGAACTAGATCGTGATGTACTACTACTTCACAATTGAATGGGACATAATAGACGACCTTTAAATTTTTGTCAACTTTTGTCAATAAAGAAAGATGAAGCAAAAGCCTTTATCAAATAGTCCAATATCCAAAGTAGATACTCCCCAAGTGTAGAATGCCAATTCACTCATACCCCAGTTCCAACAGCTATGATTTTGCTCACCATAGCTTAGTCCGGTACATTAGCATCCAAAGTGGAAAATTCTGCTACTATACCATTAGTAAAATAGGTGTCTATTTCCTCTAACAAGGAAAGAGGATGATATGCATTCGTCCAACACACTGACAACTAGATGATCTGTGTGAAGCCGACCTATGGATAGAAAGAAAGATGCAGGAGAGGCAAATGAAAGAAGAAATCAAAATTTGCTTCGGGAGTGTGTTCCTTTACGACATTCAAAACTCAAAAGCTTTGTACGAACTTATGTGAGCAATGTTAACTGTGGATTCCAAAAGGCTATTTACTTCCCCTAACTTCAGTAACCTAACCCAGAAATTAAGCATAAGGCATGTGAAGCACCCATTGCTGAAAGCACATCGTGCTTTTGCAGTCCATAAGTTGATCTAAGTCAATGAAGTCATCTACGGGAGACATATTTGATAAGAGGTTTTGTCCATACTGGTATTCAAAAGAAAAAGGAATGGCTTTCACTTGCAGTGTGGGGAAGAAGTGAACTCTGCATATATGCGAATTCAATTAAGAAAACAAACTGCAACAGGAGCTTCAGTTGCATAAATATTTTACTTAAATTGCGATAGATTTCAAACCTAAAAAAAACTCTATTGGCAAGGTTAATTAAACTGGTCAAATACAGGACACATGACATCCTGGCGGTTTGCCACGATCAAGAAGACAAGAGATGACAAAACTTGGATGAGCAACTACGTAAAATGGAAGCTAGCAGAAAATTTCACTTCTTAAGGACATAACAGAAGGTTAACGTACATACATTACGTAATGCGGGAAGGAGCCCTTCGGATTCATGACAATATAAAAGTAACACAATGTGCCAATATATTCCGTCCATGGAACAACTTGCATGCTTCTCAAATCTACTCTCTTCCACATCCTTAACGGAGACACGCCTCCTGTACCAAACAGTATTAGGTAAGTACTGCTTTTTTGATTACTATTAAGCACAGTGATTATCCGCAAGATACCCTTGATGGCATTTCCAGGCCTCTACTACCCTACTTCAATGTGACTATTTCTAAGTTATAATAACGTCTATGACCATTTGAGCCAATCTCTCTTGTCATCTACCAAATCTTTGAATTCTCCGACGCCGTAATTCTTCCAATGATAGGTCTTGAATCTCATCTGTTGAACTAAGAGATAACAGCCCGTCGTCAGTTCGACTTGTGCCACACATTTCACAAACACTTAACCAGCCTGAATTATCAAATGTACATGCTTCGCATCTCCACAATTGAGATGTATTTCTTGTCTGTCTCCCACCAACGGTTCCTCTACCAGAAATTCTTGGTTGGCTTCGAAATAAGCACTTCACAAACCTTAAAGGCCAGTTCAGTGCATGGGTAAGACCCCTGATGATGTTCCCTAGTGGATTGGCACCCGAATACGATGCTTTTAAACGCAAAAACAGAAGGCCAGCAAGTATTCCACCAAGGTGGCCAAGAAATGAGACACCAGGGACAAACATTTGTATGAGAATGAGTTCTGCCCAGGCAGCGTAACGAGTAGGAACAAGCAGCCCATGCACATATGTATATTCATCTGATTGTGCATTGAGAATAACCTTCATGGCAAAGAGGACACCAGAAAAACCCACAGCATATTCCTTGTAGTAGGGTCTCTCATAGTCAAAGAACAAAAGAAGCGATTTTGCAAGCAATAGTGTAATGCCTTGCGACATAGCAACTAAGGCTGCAACGGTCGATGCAAACTCTGCACTTCCCATTGATGTCTCCAATTGTATCCCTTTCCACAGAAGTGAGAGCATATTGTAGACTAGGTGAGATTCGTTCACGTGGTATAATGCTGACAGGAAGAATCGTTTCAGGTCCTTGTACTGCATAACAAAGGTAAAATGTTTATCAGGTGAAGACGATATAATAGTTTGACACATGGCCTTCCAAACACCCTGACATACAGCTCAAGACAAGAGTTTGCAGTTATATGATTCACCAATAATACGGCAAAGCAGCAACATCAAATGCAATGGCAAAATGAATTTAGAAGCGCGAACATATCAGGTCCACGTGGCATGTATGTCCAAAAGTAGTATAGTATGAACAAATTCACAAAGTCTATACTTGATGCAAAATTCGTATTTTATTTCAGAAAATACCATAATAACGAAGCCAATGAAAGCATGCAAATTCCTGTACTAGCAAAAAAGTTACAATCTTTTATCAACACAGTCATTTATATCTTCTAAAAACTATATCAATAAAATGTGCAGCTTGCGAGCAAAAACTTATAACCTCAGACACACTTATCAGTTATAAAGAAGGATTGGCATGTCTTTCAGACTTTCAGTAATATTAGGGTCCATTAGTTTTAAAATTTAGTTGTTCAAGCGAAGCCATTAATTTTCAGATATATTAAAACACAACCCTGATAGAGAAATCTGCATTTAGAAGGAATATAACACACTAATTAAAGAAAATATCTAGACCCTATAAGCTTATCTTTCAAAGAGAGGAAAGACATCGGAATCTTTTACTACACCTATCAAAACAACTCAGAGAAGCTTGTTCTTCCTAATAAGACAGTTTTCACAAAATATTCACAGCATAAAGAAACAAATTTAAGAGGAACAATAAAGTTACACTTTCAGCAGAATATGTTGAGTCAGGTAGAAAAAGAGATACCCATTAATAAAAGATATTGGAATCTTGTTGCTATAAAAGAGAAACTCAAAACTAAACAAAGAATTCCAAGTTCATCACATGATAGAAAGCCAACAGCTGAACAAAAATAATTCACATGCCACATTACAGATTAGAGATGATGGTTATCTAAGGTTAGATTTAATGTGTTTAAGTTCAAATCCAAGGCTGTATATAATTCCCTATAACCTGTTCCACGTCTACACCATCTTCTCCCCTTTCCCACTCCAGCATGTATTTGTTGGATAAGTAATATGGCGGAGATGTGAGTAATCAAGAAGTCTACAGTAAAATTTAAAAAAAATTGAGCAATTCATTGGCAGCACATATTTCTTGGATATGTAACACGGGGAAAATGTGAGTTGGAATGAAGTCCTCAGCAAAATATGAGAGGATCATCAAATGGTCGGCAGAGCTACTCCATCAGTGTACTTGGGGCTCTAAGAATCTTCACTTCAATAGCATCATAGAATGAACTACTGAAGCCAAAACTGAAAACAAATTGCCTATATTGATAGCCATTTACTGGTACACATCCATTCGCTGCTTTAACAGACTTTTAGTTTAATTCAAGAAATCTATCCTATGGTGAATGGTTGTATTGTAAATATGCAGTTACGAAAATAAGCTGATCGAAGTAATATTGCTATACCATTTAACACGATTTCAGGCCTTGAGATTATTTCAATATTGAACCCTGGAATCGTGAGAGTACCAAATTCAGCAGGTGTCAGAATCTATACATCGTGTTATCACTTAGCACAGCGGTGTTTCAACCAAACCAATGTACTTTACCATAGTTAAGTAATAAATAAGGTAAAAATGGACATTAGTTAACCATACTTAGGTGATAAAAGAGTATGTGAAACACATCTAAGTTAAAATCCTAAATCGGCTACAAAAAAATTGAAGGCGATGATAGGATTATACCTTAAGGATGAGGTGAGGATTAAACCAGACTTCAGTGATGGTAGGGAGAAAAGGATCAAGAAAACTGGGCCTTAAGTATATAATTGTATTAGCCGCAAGAAGTCCTGCTGTAACCGGCGGTTTCCTCTCCAGCCTGCAGTATTCGCTTACTGTATGCAGCGCTAATAGAGGTAGCATCCCACGTGATACTGAACCCCACCTGCCCCTTCCTCTTTCCATTGCTAATTTGTGTATTTTTTTTGAATCTGTAGGAACAAGAGAATTGATCCGAATTTGTACCGTTTTACTTCCTTTAAATTGTCACCGAGCGGTGGGAATTTGAATGAATTATGATTTCTGTTTACGAATCTTCGTCAACAAGAAAAGAGTATTCCAGATACTTCGTTTGCCTTCCTGTATCCAAAAAGGGGGCTATTCGGAATTGATGGGTCGATGACGTACCCAAGATTAGACCCGAGAAATTCAGTATTCGTGGTTAACGTTTGTTACCAAAAAGAATTTAATCTCTGTTTTCTTTTCTTATTTTCGGTTTTTTGAAAAAGAAAAATTCAACTGTTTTTTAAACAAACACTAGGGGTGAGTATTTGGATAATTCGGATTGGATATGAAAATTATAAAAATTTTAATTTTCAGATTCAAAAAATTATAACTTAAAATTCAATCCAAATAAATTCTAATTGAATCAATCTTTTTAAATTCGATTGTGAATTAATTGGTTTGATTATTTCGGAGTTTTAGTTTTAAGTGTATAGGTTAGTTTCACCTTCTTCTTACAAATTCGGATGGATAGTAAATAATGAGAAAATCTTGCTTGTCACAAACCATGCCAGATTACCTGAATTTTTGGCCAACTCTTGATAGATTGCCAAAATTTTGACAATAAATCCTAATAAAGCGCCAAAACTAGACGAGAGATATGTAAAAACTTTATTACCAAGTTTTGCTTTAAAATTAGTCTAAATCAACTACAAATTTGGTATATAACCTTTTAGTACCAATCCCAATAAATTTAATGGTTAAGTTCAACCTAAACCTCAAAGATCAGTAAACCCATTTTAACTTCTTCAACAAGTTTTTTAAGTTCAACAAAACTCAAAATGATGTTCTTTAATTTTCTCAAATCAAACCAGTTCAAATTATTAAGGATAGATGATATTAGTTTAAGGGAATATTACCCACTCATTTTCAACCATAAATAAGCAAATAAGTCTTCGATATTTTGCCGCACATATTTTATTATTTTTAATATAATTTATTAGAAAAAGGAGGAGGAAGGAGGAGAAGAAGAACCGAGAATGGAGACGAATAAGGAGATATTCTAAAACAATTTCTTAACATGGTCAAAAATTCAAAAATCAACCTTTAAGAAAGTTCTCCTGTAAAAATTCTTGAATGAGAAAATATCTTTAAGACCCTGTATTTTTATTAGGTGGCTAATATGGTATAGTGATAAATATAATAGGATATTGGTCTTAGCATTGACCATATGCACTTATGTCTAATGAGTAGAGCTAAGTAAAAGGTATAAAAAATTCTAAGTTTTTGAATATTCAAAAATTAAATGTCCAAAATCCAGAATCCAAAAGTTTAAAATATAGATTTTGTTATAAATATATTATATTATGGATGTTCATTTAGTACTCAATTGGAAATAAGTCTTATGAAGAGGCTTATCCTTTCGGTACTCCGTTATAGATAAATATTACTCATGGTAGAAGATTATCTATATCTGGCATAACAACTTAGAGTAGCAGCTTACAAGCAGCTTACACAGCAGCTTGCAGTAGCAGCTTACACAACAACTTTCTTTCTTCTATAAATAGAGGAGAATTCAATCCATTATGTACATAAGTTTGAAGTTTGAATAATAAATCAGTTTCTCTCTATACTTGTCTTTACTTTACTGTCTTTATTTTATAATATGTTATCAGCACGAGACTCTGCCATCTCGAGAAAATATTTTGAAAGTATCAGATGTATGAACTTTCTTTTTCTAAATAATGTCAAATCTTTCTAAACTTAAGTTTGTAGCCCTGAATATATCAGGCAAAAGCTACATGTATTGGGTGCTTGATGCCGAAATTTATCTTGATGCGATGGGTCTGACAGACACCATCAATAATAAAAATCAGGCATCAAACCAAGATCGTGCCAAAGCAATGATATTCCTACGCCATCACCTTGATGAGGGCCTAAAAATGGAATATCTTACTGTTAAAGATCCAGTTATACTGTGGAATAATTTGAAAGATAGATATGACCACCTGAAGATGGCCGTTCTTCCACAGGCACGTTATGATTGGACTCATCTAAGTCTACAAGATTTTAAATCTATCAGTGAGTATAATTCTATTATGTTCAGAATTATTTCCCAATTGAAATTATGTGGTGATAATATTACTGATCATGATATGTTGGAGAAAACTTTCACCACTTTTCATGCCTCGAATATGCTCCTGCAGCAGCAATATCGAGAGATGGGATTCAAAAAGTATTCTGAACTTATCTCACATCTTCTTGTAGCCGAGCAACATAATGGGCTATTAATGAAAAACCATGAAAACCGACCTACTGGTTCTTGTCCATTCCCTGAAGTGAATGAGACGAACTTCCACCAAGCTAAGCGTGGAAGAGGACGTGGCCCCAGTTGTGGTCATGGTCGTGGTCGGGGAGAAAACTCTAATCGTGGTAATAACAATGCACCAAAGAACCCTACTCACCACCAGCAGAGGAAAAGGAAGGAACAAAAGCATGAAGCGGTGCAAGCAGCAAAGCCAGAAAATGCATGTTATAGATGTGGAGGAAAAGGGCACTGGTCACGTACATGTCGCACGCCAAAACACCTAGTTGAACTGTATCAAGCCTCCCTGAAGAAGACAGAGAAAAATGCTGAAGCAAATTTTATTTCTGAAGATAATTTAGACTTCATGCATTTGGATGTAGCTGATTACTTTGCACTCCCAGAAGGAGAAACAAGTCATGTGATCGGTAGTGAATCTGTAGAGATGTAAATATTTTAATTTTTGTTGTTTGTAGTAGATAGTATGGTTATGTAATTGTTGTACATAAATAAAAGTTATGCTTTGATAATAATGTTTACTATCATATTTATTTTGTTTATGTCATTTTGAAGAATATGGATAATTCTCAAATTATGTTTGGATCAAAGACCAATCATGAAGATATTTGTATAATTGATAGTGGAACAACTCATGCCATATTCAAAGATCAGAAATACTTTTCTTATTTGCATAAGGAAAAAGTAAATGTTTTAACAATTTCTGGTAATATAAGTTTGATTGAAGGCTTCGGAAGAGCTACTGTATTTCTGTCTAAGGGAACAAAACTTATTATCGACAATGCATTGTTCTCCTCAAAGTCCTAAAGAAACTTGTTGAGTTTTATAGATATCCGCTGATATGGGTATCATGTTGAGACAATAGATGAAATGAACGTGGAATATCTTTGTATTACAAAGAATATTTCTTGCCAGAAATGCATTGTAGAAAAGTTACCAACTTTATCTTCTGGATTATACTATTCAAAGATTAGTACAGTTGAAGCACACTCTATAGTAAACCAGAAGTTTACTGATTCAAATATTTTTGTGCTTTGGCATGGCCGTTTGGGCCATCTTGGATCAATAATTATGAGACGAATTACTGAAAATTTGAGTGGGCATCCATTAAAGAACCTGAAGATTCTTACAAATGATGAATTTTCTTGTGATGCTTGTTATCAAGGCAAAATGATCACTAGACCATCACCAATGAAAATTGGCATTGAGTCCCCTGCCTTTTTAGAACGTATACATGGGGATATATGTGGACCTATTCACTCACCAAGTGGGCTGTTTAGATATTTTATGGTCCTAATAGATGCATCTTCAAGATGGTCTCATGTGTGCCTACTATCATCTCGCAACCTGGCGTTTACAAAGTTATTAGCCCAAATAATTCGATTAAAGGCACAATTCCCAGATTATCCTATAAAGGCTATTTGCCTTGATAATGCTGGAGAATTCTCATCTCAAGCTTTTGATAATTACTGTCTATCAGTTGGAATAAAATTTGAACATCCTGTAGCTTATGTTCATACTCAAAATGGCCTTGCAGAGTCGTTTATTAAACACATGCAATTGATAGCAAGACCACTACTTATGAAAACAAAATTATCCACTACTATTTGGGGCCATGCTATCTTGCACACAACATCTCTTATCCATCTCAGACCAACACATTATAATAAATATTCTCCGTCACAATTAGTTTCTGGTCATGAACTAAATATTACTCATCTACAAAATTTTGGATGTGTTGTATATGTGCCAGTAGAACCACCACAACGCAGTAAGATGGTCCCCCAAAGAAGGTTAGGAATATATATTGGGTTTGAATCACCCTCTATTATTCGCTATCTTGAACCATTGATGAGAGATTTATTTACTGCTCGATTTGCAAATTGTCGATTTGATGAAACAAATTTCCCACGATTAGGGGGAGAGAAAAAGGAAATCAAAAGAGAAATTGTGTGAAAAGTTTCATCATTATCTCACTTTGATCCACGTACCCCTATATGTAATCAGGAGGTCCAGAAGATTATCCATTTACAGAATATAGCAAATCAAATGCCAGACGCATTTACTGATTTAAAAAGGATAACTAAGTTGAATATCCCTGCAGAGAATGTGCCTATCCGAATTGATGTCCCAGCAGGACCATCTACTAGCATGAGAGCTAGTGAACCTAAAGCACGTCTGAAGCGTGGTAGACCTTTGGGTTCTAAGGATCGAAATCCTAGAAAAAGAAAATCGACAAATGATCAAAATGATATTATGAAGAGATATCCTGAAGAGACCCAAGATCTGATTAGTTCTAAGATTCCTGAAGAAATCAATGAACCCGAGACTCAAGTGAGTGAGGAACTTTTAATAAGTTCTACTGGTGATGGGATTAATTTAAATCGATCTGAAATAGTGGTGGATAATATTTTTGCATATAATGTTGCACTTAACATTATGCAAGATAGTGAGAATCTTAAACCCCGATCTGTCGAAGAATGTCGACAAAGATCTGATTGGCCAAAATGGCAAGAGTCAATTCAATTGGAATTGAAGTCACTTGCTAAAAGAGAGGTCTTTGGACCGGTAGTCCAAACAACTGGTGGTATAAAGCCAGTTGGTCATAAATGGATTTTTGTGCGAAAAAGGAATGATAAAAATAAAGTTGAAAGATACAAGTCTCGCCTTGTTGCAGAAGGATTCTTACAATGACCTGGAGTCGATTATGAAGAAACATATTCACCAGTTATAGATTCCATAACATTTCTATATCTCATCAGTTTAGCCTTACGTGAAAGGCTTGAAATACATCTAATGGATGTGGTTACAGCTTATCTGTAAGGGTCACTTGATAATGAAAT